GAGAGAAAGGCTTGGAAGGGTCCTCTTAGAGTAAATTGATTAGTGGATTGATGGGCAGTGTTGTGCTGAGGGACCGCTTGATAATTGTGGTCATAAATTCAACATATCACCATTCAGGATATTCTGCTTTTTGAGGACAGACTTTGACTGTTGGAAGAGGTAAGTTTTGCCACAGTTGAGGTTTGGCCAAGTGAGCATAGTGGAGAGAGCAGAGCAAGAGAAGTATGGAAGTTTAGAGTGTATATAAGGGGGTGATTATCATGACAGAGCATGGAATATGAGTTAGATTAGATGGACAGGAGGGAGGTAAAGGACAGTGAAAAATCAGTAGGTAGGGTTCATTGTTTAAAAGTCTCCAGGGGCTCCTGGGTAACTCATTAGATTTGATGTCCAACTCTTGGTTTCTGCTCAGGTAATGGTATGTGAGTTTGAGCCCCACATCGAGCCCTGTGTCAGGCTTCACTCTGACAGTGCAGATCCTGCTTCGGATTCTCTCTCTCCCTCTCTCCCTGCCCCTCCCCCCCCAAAAAAAATAGGTAAATAAACTTTAAAAATAAATAAATGCCAAAGAGTTAAGTGGAAGTTTAAGGGAAAGATGGCTAGGAGACGGTGAATAGGGAATGGGGTGTTTGGAATCAGTGTGTGGGAAGGATTTCACACATATTCTGGTTTAATACCTACCAACTTCATATTATCTCCATAGACAAATTATGTTTATAAAGATTAAATAACTTGACCAAGGTCACACAGCAAATAAATGACAGTTTGAATAGGAAGTCAAAATACTAGTTTCATGTTTAAACTCCAGAATCTTTGTACTTTACCAGCTGCCTCTGATTCATGACAGTTGCCCACTAGACAAAGAGTAATCATTATTATGACTGAGAACGTTTACACTGTATTTGTTTTGCTTTCTTTAGGCTTATTAAGGTATGCAAATTTAAAAAAAGGCCTCAGACTACATTTCTAATTTTAAAAACATCTCCCTACTTTCTTTGTAAAACAAGTGGCCTTTATAATTTGATTGAAAATGATTTTCAGTTTTCATCTGTCAAAATTCACAAGTTAGCATTCACACATCAGTTTCTAGTAAGCCGTTAACATAGAGTAAATTTTACCTTCTCACTCTACAGTAAAATAAAATTTCCCAATGTTAAGGAGATTCCCCATTTTCCTGCACTTGAGATTATTTAAATAGATCCCTGCTTAACTGTAAACAATGTCGATCTAAGGAAAGGAACTTAAGGTAATTTTTATTATCTCTAATTAGGAGGCTTCAAGAAAATTTGCTTAGGGTCTAAGTAGATGGTAGTCAAGATTTTATGCTTTAGTGGAGGAAAAGTGACATTTTAAATATAAAGTTTTTCAGCCTAATAATTAAAATAGCAATTCTTAGCAGACTTCCACAATACTGCAAACAAACAAAACCCAATTGTCAGGGCTGTTTTTAGTTCAAATTACATGGAACCCCTTCCAACAATACCTGTAGGTATAGAGCTACATAATTCCTGAGCAGGGAGTTTTCTTTGCTGTAATTACATTCATGTGGTGACTCATAAACTCTCTTAATTCCTAGATTTTATAATTGAAAAGAAAATATTCCCTTGAACTTTGAAAACTTGGAAGATTCAAAAGTTGTTTTTCAGAAATTACTGTGATTATTACTACTATCTCAACTTCTCTAAGTGATATTGTACCTAGTTGCTTTCGATCTCACTCGTGCTAGGGGGTTTACTCAGGTGACTGATGGAGAAAGGATCCCACCAGTACTCAGCAGCAGGGCTGTGCTGTTCTGGGTCCCGGGACCTAAGCAGCAGAGATCTGGGGCTTTCCCTCTGGTATTCACCACCGACACAACTCCGTTTCTCTCAAATGCCTGCTCATTTTTGACTTTCTGCTTCTCTTTCCTTGAATTATTTTTTTGTGTGTATGCATTTATTTGTTCAGATTCCCAAGGGAAGGAATAGTTTCTGCTAATAAACTCTGCCTGGGTATGGCAGTTTTTCTCTCCCACTTCTGGGGAGGTTATTTGAGACCGATACAAGGTTGAGGGACAGTCCCTTGTAGACATCTGGCTGGTATCTCTCCTGTTCGGGGTATGGTCACGCCTAAGAGGGTGAGATGTGGATGCTTGCACAATGACATGTATTGCTTGAGGCAGATTTTTATCATGAGGCTTTACTTTTGTTAGAAGGCCTTGGAGATTTGTGAAATACTATCTGACAACCCCATAATAAGGGGAAAAAAAAGCAAGCAAGAAATAAAAGAAAGACAACTGTTGGTTGGATGTTCAACAGACACTCTCTCCACAACCATCCTTCCCCCTAACATTATTCAGCTCTCTCTTGGGTAGTCATGATATACATGCCAGGCTCGGGAGAAGGAGAACTTGATTGTTCAAAGACAAATTTCCCAGTGAAAAGATTTGTTTTGTCGAGGCCCAGTAAGGTAATTCTGGAAAAACATGTTTGAGACGATGAATGCTAGGGGCTTTTTGTGATGTTTACTGACTCTTTTAAGGAAATACAGTTTGTTTGTTTTTTAATGTGGGATATTTTTATCTGTGTGAGATGCTTAGAATTGCAGTAGCCATGTTAGGGTCATGATAGGAGCCAGTTAAGAGAACAGATCACTCACTATACTGATGGCAGAACAGAAGGATGAACTTATGCCTGGTCACACAATTGTGCTGAGCCACCACACAAGCTAACTCTGGAGCTGCCTTGTTGTCTGGTGGGAAGTTACTTTGTTGCAATGGTAGTCTACAAGTATACTACTAGGCAACCTAGCCCCCATATGCCAAATTAAAATCTTCAGGTCACATGGTTTGCTGAATTAATTTTAAGTACCTGGTGACAAGCAAGAGGAAAGAAATGGGTAGGTTAGCACACTTAGGTTAGGGTGCAAGTTGGATGGAAGAATCGCTCTGGCTAATCCTCAGGTACACGGTGTTCATATGTTCTGCTTCTCTCTCTGCTGCATCTATCTTCCCTACTGATGATGTGGTTTCAAGGACTAGAGGTGAGGTTTTGGCAAGCTCCATAGGTGAAAGGTAGTCCAAGTTAATGACACCCGTTTGCAGTATCTGAATTACACAGGGACAGTATGCTTGGTCGGGGGTTGTAAATTGCTGGTTAGCATGATGGTCAGTCATGAATTCTCTTTGTATTTTGGGGGCAAAGAAAACATGAGGCAGAAATGGATGTCAGCAGTGTTTCTTAACCAAAGCTATTTTAACCGTGAGTGTACATTGGCAATATTGGGAGACATTTTTGATAGTCATGACTAGCGTGTGTGTCTGTGTGATGCTACTGGCACCTAGTGGGTAGACACAGGGATGCTGCTAAACATGTGACAGTGTATAAGACACCCCCCAAGACAAAGAATTATCTGGCTCTAAATGTCAGTAGTATGGAAGTTGAGAAGCCATGGGTATTGAATGAAGACCTCATAAATAATAAGTGTTTATGTATAGTGTATCCTGGATATTTAGTATCTTTTTTGTATATCTATTATATCATGAACATTTATTACCCAGGTGCCTCATGAACATTAGGTATCTTTTGGTCATCCATCCCTTTCTATCAGTGTGTAACACACACATGATCTTCTTAGTTATACTTTACACATCCTTTGCATTCTGGCGCATCTAACACAATTTTGTTTACTAGTACTTATCTATATTTAAGACATCTAAAATGTGTTTGCATGTATTTTATGAACTCCAGATTTATTCATCTAACATCTGGAGATTTGCAAAAGCATATTCACATTACACCTGTCCTAGAATTTCTAACAAGAAATAAGATATAAATGTCCTGATTGTTTAAGCCATTTTTAGTTGTGTTTTCTGCATCTTGCAGCTTAGAGCATCCTAACTGACTCCCCCATAACATCAATAGGAAAATAAATTACAAAGATATATGAAACAAGGACTTAAGCTATGATTATAGGTTTCCAAAATGGCAATGTAAGGGTCAGATGCTGGAGGAAATTGATGATGGTGCCTGGGTTAATATAACACATGTTTGATCATTCTGTTTACATTTCAAGCAACTGTAGACAGGGTGCTTATCACAGCAGACCTCTGTACTCAGAAATTCACATTTTTGAAATGATTGGGACAATTTTGGCATGGTGACCTTCAGAACACTGTGAAAAAGATTATTTAGTTGGTTGAATGTCTATTAATACATTTAGAAATTTATAGCTTCACAATTATTTTTACTTAATGTTATTATTTATTTATTTATTTATTTATTGCTTTAAAAATCTTCAGACTTTATGACTTGTTACAGTAGTTGTATCTTGAGGCACCACCATTAAAGGGGAATTTTTTTTCATATATATGGAATTAAAGAGAAGCATTTTTAAGATAATGTAAGCATGTTTAAATTATACAAGAAGATTGTTTAGGAGAGATTTGAAAAAGAATTATTTAAAATTTCTGAAAGCACATTCCTTCTCATTTCTTCTACCTTCCTTTGCCCCCTTTTTAATGCTTTTTGTGATGGAAAGGATTATTTTGTTAGATTAATATATCAAACTTTAAAAATGGTCATGTACAGTAGCAAATCAGAACTATTTAATAAAAACTAAAGTAAAACCAGGAAGAATAAGATGTCTTGCAAATAACGGTGTGCTTATGGTAGTTTCTGAGACCTGTTGAACTTGATCAGTGGCATTAGCTCTGCTGCAATGGGTGACAGGTGATTTAACGTCATATTTTTTTAGAAGTCCAGGTGTGTGTGTGTGTGTGTATGTGTGTGTGTGTGTGTGTGTGAGAGAGAGAGAGAGAGAGAGAGAGTGTGTGTGCGTGCGTGTGTGTAAGAGAGAAAGACAAAAGGAGAGGGGGAGGGATACAGAGAGAGCCCTATAAAGTTTTCTTTTTGTATTCAAATCTGAGTAAAAATCAGAAAGCTGATATATGTAAACTTGGTGACTTTCAAGTGATTTACACTCTCAGGGTCCTTTTTAATCACCATTTCTATCTGTTACAGCGATTTGCTGTCCTCTGAATACGTAGAGAGACATGTTGAACATGGAGGGAAGACTGTGGAAGTTAAAGTAAGTAAGATTGTCTCCCTCTGGCGGAGATTTTTTGAAAATTGTTAAAATATTATGATTTTAATTTTCAGTGAAACTTCTAATGTACAGTTTTGGGGTTTCTGTATTTTGGCATTTTTCAACTAAGTGTATCACCCACTTGTGAATAAAACCTTTAGTTACCAGAAAAAAGATTCTTAGTGTGCTATAGGAATTGTGGGAGTTATGTTTTATGGGATTGATACAAGGGTTGTGTGGGATTAATACAATGCAAGGGTTCTTATTTAGAATATGTCACAAAGTAATTCCTGAAATTTGCCTTTAAGATTAGCCCTGAGAACCAAAAGGTGAAATCTTGGGTCCAGGGTAGGTATGTGACTTTGCATTCAGTTGGAAAAAACATTCCCCTGGTAAAATGATAAATTTATTTGGTGTTCAGGGTAGTCCCAGGAGGTTTTAAATCCCTGGAGAGAGAAATCTCAGGATATTGTTCTTTTTTTTTTTTAAGTTTATTTATTTTGAGAGAGAGACAGAGAGAGACAGAGAAAGTGGGGGAGGGGGAGAGAGAGAGAGAGAGAGAGAAAGAGAGAGAAACTGAGAGAGAGAGAGAGAGAGAGAATCCGAAGCATGCTGTCAGCATGGAGCCAGATGTGCGGCTCGAACTCACGAACCATGAGATCATGATCTGAGCCGAAATCAATAGTCAATCAAAAGTTGGACACTCAAGCAGCTGAGCCATCCAGGTGCCCCGGGATATTGATTCTTGTCAAGTAAGCTCTGAAGAGATGCCTTGTAAATAAAATCCTCCTCCAGTTGCAGACATAGGCATGTGTATTTTTTTCTGGTCTACTGATGATGATGTAATCTGAGGGTATTCCACCCTCAGGTTTTGATCCACCCAAAGGTTTTTTTTAGGCTCATTTTTTTTTTTAGGCTCATTTTGTAGTATTATAAGTTTTGGCTAAGTGTTTATTTTCTTCCGAAAAGAGTTCAGACTACCTATTTGCCTTGTCAGAATTATAATACCATTTATATATATTTGCTTTCTTTTTCCGAATATACATTTGATACAGACTCGTTTTAGAAAACTTACAAGTAGATAAAAGTAAAAATAAAAATGAAAACTCACTAAAATTCATCACTGAGGTAAACTTTGTTTTAATTTTATTGTATTTTCTTTTAGTATTGTTTTGCCCTGTGCACATATTTATATTTTAATGTTTTGTATATTTGCTATCATATACATCTGCAGTATTGTATCTTGCTTTATAAGCAAAATTTCTATATCATGTATAGATATCTTTGATAAAGATTAAAAACAAAATGTGTTAATTTTTACAAGTGAACTAATTTATAATAATTATGCCAGTCCTTCCAGAAAGTTATTCTAAACTTGTTAAGGCTGACAAATGGAATGGTTGGTTGATTTATTTCACTGCCTTTCTGCAGAAAGGACGTCAGGATGCTTCCAGGCATGACACAGGAGAATGGTGCCATGTTGCTTATAGTTGGAAAAAATTACCTAGATTTAGAATCTCTGGGCTTTTATTCTCTTTCCCGTTGCTTGGCTTTACTTCCCTATTTTGTATGTTGCTTTTCTGAATGCAGAGTATTTGTTATTGTTAAATTAAAGAGGAAAAGAAACAGGCAGTTCACTATTTCTATTTATGCCTGTCAGTGGAATGATGAAATGCAAATACGAGCATGGAGGGCAGATCGAGCAAAGAGCCATCTGCTGTTGCTCCAGTAATGTCCCTTTTCAGGAAACTTGTACTTAATCAACAGAGCGTACTCCACTCTGAGATCATTAGGCTCCATGGGTATATATAACACTCAGAGCACTGACTTTCTGCACAATCTTTGCTGATTTTCCAGTCTGAGAATTTCATTTTCTTTGTTTGATGGTTGCCTAAACCCCAACCCTATTAAACCAGGGAAATAATAAAATCCACCTGCATTTAAACCCTTGGGCCAGAAGACGTTTCTCCCTTTCAGAAAACCACTGGGATCTCACCCATCACCTCCATTTGTGTCTAGTCCCTTTAAAAACCTAACTCAAAATTCTCCTCTGGGTTTTTTCCAGAAACCACACTGAAAGCTCTGAATCCTGCCCCATCAATTCAGTCAGTAGCCAGTTATTTTCCTGCTGGTTCCCTCGTGTCTTGCCCTTTGTGCTTAGCCCATTGGGGTGTTTCTTTTTAATGTAATCTGTTCTCTTTTCTTTACTAATGACTCAGAATTTTCTTAAGCTTTTCTTTTCACTGTACATTATGAGTCAACTAAAATTGTAAAATTGTAACATTTTGTATTTCTTTTTCTTCTTTCTATTACCTCTTCAAAAATTTTTTTTTCTTATGTGCTGTACTAGTTTGCTAAGGCTCCCATAACAAAGTACCACAGAGTGGTTTAAACAACAGAAATGTATTTTCTTACAATTCTAGAGGCTGGAAGTTCAAGACCAAGGTGTCAAATGGGTTGGTTTCCTCTGAGGCTTGTAGATGGTGCCTTCTCCATATGGCTTTACGTGATTTTTCCTCTGTGTATATCTGTTCTCCAATTTCTTCTTTTTTTTTTTTTTAATTTTTTTTTTCAACGTTTATTTATTTTTGGGACAGAGAGAGACAGAGCATGAACGGGCGAGGGGCAGAGAGAGAGGGAGACACAGAATCGGAAACAGGCTCCAGGCTCTGAGCCATCAGCCCAGAGCCCGACGCGGGGCTCGAACTCTCGGACCGCGAGATCGTGACCTGGCTGAAGTCGGACGCTTAACCGACTGCGCCACCCAGGCACCCCTCCAATTTCTTCTTAAAAGGACATTCATCATGTTGGATTAGTGCCTGCTCTTAACAACCTCATTTTAACTTAATTACTTCTTTGAAGACTATCTTTACAGTCTGAAATAGTAGGGAGTTAGGACTTCAACATAAGAATTTCAGGGGAATACAATTAAGCCCATAACACCTTTCCTAAGAGCTCTATTTGGTTTGGTTTTGTTTTTAAATTGGCTTTGCTTTTGGAAGTGAAATAAATGAAGGGTATGAAATCAAGACAAAACTCTACTTCTTTAAAAATTTTTTTTAAACGTTTTTATTTATTTTTCAAGAGACAGAGCATGAGTGGGGAAGGGGCAGAGAGAGAGGGAGACCTAGAATCCTAAGCAGGCTCCAGGCTCCAGGCTCCAAGCTGTTAGCACAGAGCCCGATGCAGGGCTCGAACCCACAAACTGCGAGATCATGATCTGAGCCGAAGTCAGATGCTCAACCGACTGAGCCAACTGGGTGCCCCAAAACTCTACTTTTTTGATGACAGAAAACCAAATTCATTTATGCCAGATTTAAGCAATGAGTAGACATCAATCTGATAAATAACTGCTCACGTGTCATGGAACCTTTATTTGTGAGACTCAGGTACAATGCATTTATTTAAGTGTGTGAGTATGACTGTGGGAAAGGAATGTATTTGCATGGAAAAGTACATAATAGCTACTTTGGCAAATCTTTTAGATTCCGATTATATTTTTCAAACCTTTTTTTTTTCCAAACATTTTTTTTTCTAATATATAACACTGGCACGGAAATTACTAAGGTGAATACTCCATAACCACTATCCAATTCAAGAAATAGAGCTTGACCAGCTCTTCTGTGTGATACTTCCCAAAGCTGAGCTCCTCCTGCCTCCTCTTATAGACTTGTAAATACTATTGTGACTTTTCTGGTTTTATTTATTGTTTTATTACCCAAGCATGTATCCCTGTAGTTTAATTTTGCCCAAGTTTTTTAAATGATTTTTAAAAAGTCTCTTTTAATCCATTGGTTTCCCCATATCTTTCTCTTTTTACAACAAATTTGTTTCTTCCACAGATAAATTGTTGATCTTGTGTGTTTTCTCACAGTCTGGATTTTGCTGTTGACTGCAGTTTTATATTTAGAGTAAAATGAAATATGTGTCAGTGATCTTTCCTTAAGATAGTAATGTGAATTGTCTGCAAAGACATTCTATGCCTTGTCAAAGGTGGTTTTATTCTGGTCAGATAGATACAGAATCATGATTTTAAAGTTTTTTAAAAAACTTTTCTTCAAAGGTTACAAAAATAAAGGCTTTAAGCAGAAAAAAAATATTTTTGTACCTTTAATAAGACATATTAATCTCATCTTTCACTTAAATTTATTTACATTTCATTTAAAAATTAAATTCTAAATTTGTCCCTTAGCTTAGAGAGAACTTTTATGTGTTTAATATGAACTTTTAAAAGAATTTTAAGGGGCACCTGGGTGGCATAATTGGTTGAGGGTCCTACTTCAGCTCAGGTCATGATCTCACAGCTTGTGGGTTTGAGCCCTGCATCAGACTCTGTGCTGATGGCTCAGAGCCTGGAGTCTGCTTCAGATTCTGTCTCCCTCTCTCTCTGCCCTTCCCCCACTCATGCTCTGTCTCTCTCTGTCTCAAAAATAAATAAAAAACATTTAAAAAGAATTTTAACAGTAAGCTTCAACTGATCAGAGTATCTTGGGAACAAAATCTTTTCATTTTGACTGTGAAGAACTGTATATCTAGATTCTTGAGACAAAGTAAATTAGGATTGATGAGCAGCAGCAAATGAGTGTACACTGTGCAGCTCACTGTTTTATTGTTAGCTAGCTTTTTTGTCTTGAAAGCTGCCAATATTCAGCTTAATTGGTTTCCAGTTATATAGACTCTGGTTAATCAGTGTTATAATACTAATAATCATGGTATTTATTGCTTGTGATGTGACAGGCACATGAACTTATATGTATTTGGTGTTCAAAATGACCTGTGATTATAAATATAATTATTATGACACTTGACAGGAAACTGAGGTATATAGAGGTTATGTAACTTGCTGAAATCAACACAGTGAAAAGTAGTAGAGCCACATTTGAAATCTAGGCTATTTAACTCCCGAGCTGACTCTTATACCATATTATCTACCATATATTCTATATTATGTAAGAGAGGATAGCCATGAAAACTGAAATGTATTTAATTTGGACTGATTTTAT